TTTGTGTACAAACTAATACACTATCAGAGTTTTATATATTTATACTTCTCATTCAACCACAGTTAAATTCACTCTATCTAGGAGGCTCAGTTTATATGGATAGTTTTTATTTTTTACAAYAACAAGCTGCAATGAAAACAAGCAGAAATGAAATAAAAGTAACAACTTTCTACTTCTTGTCTTTTTAAAAATGTAAGAAGTAAAAAGTAGATTGAAAAATAATTACTCAAGTAAAGTACAGATACACAAAAATGATTTTTGTTACTTTACAACTGTGGCTGTGGGAAGCTTTGGTTCAGATTACCAGCACCGTGTTCTGGTTACCTTGTACTTGTCGTTGGCGAACAGGATGGATGCTCGGTGGAACTTGCAGAGTGGATTCTTTGGATCGATGGTGATGGCTCGGTTCAGAGTCTCTAAAGCAGCATCGGACTTCTTTAGAGCATGCTGCACCTGGAATCAGTCCCAGGTGTTAAAAAGCTGAGCTACAGGTGCTAACAGAATGCTAACAGATGCTAACGTACCACTCCGATATGGCAAAGCAAGACAGAGCTTTGAGGGTTGATGCTCAGAGCTTTCTTGAAGTGGATTTCTGCCAAGTTGAACTTTTCCTGTTTGTAGTAAATCATTCCAAGTCCATACCTGAAAACACAAACAGATGTGATGACATCATTACACGCTGCTGGTTCTGTGCCCCCTGTAAACACAACGAGACTGCTGGTTACCGTACCAGGCGTTGTAGTGTCGGTTGTTGACTCTGATGGCATTTCGGAAGCAGGCGAGAGCTCGGTCCAACTCCTCCGTCAGAACAAACTCGTGACCCAACAGAGTGTAGGCATATGCAAAACCTGGGTCCACCTGTAGGACAAATGGACATTTCATGAACATTACATTCTTCTTCTTGTCAAATAATTTCAGGCGTCAGTCAGAACGCTTTTGTTGATCAAAAACAARTGTGTGTCAGTGTTTATGTTGATCTAAAGAAAGCATTTGACACCAGTGATCACAGCATTCTTGAAAAATTGAAGAAATATGGTATAAGAGGTCCAGTATTACAGTGGRTATCTAGTTATCTGACAAACAGGAAACAATTTGTTCAAATAAATGATGTAAGATCTGATTTGGGGGATATTACATGTGGAGTTCCACAGGGTTCTGTGCTTGGACCAAAGTTGTTTCTTTTGTACGTAAATGACTTGGTAAATGTGTCGGGGTTGTTTAGATGTGTTTTGTTTGCAAATGATACTACATTTTTTTTTTGTTTGGGCAAAGATTTAAAGTGAATGTTGGAGCCTGGAGAAAGGCACGGTAGTGATCAGGGGTGTTCCGATAGAACGGGTCATTTCAGCTACCTGGTGTGAGAAAGGCACATAAAACATTTACAAATTCTATTTTTATTTTGCAAAAGACAGCCATAAGAATTATCACCAGAAAACATTACAGTCAGTCACCCATGAAATATATTTCATCAACTGAAATTAAAATTTTATGAGTTGGTTGATTATAAGATTTTGCTGATTATGTATAGGGCTCATAAAAACGCATTACCTTTGAACATTCAATCTAATTTCATTAAGAGGGAAAGTATTTATAATCTTAAAGGATTTGAAATGTTTGTAAAATCTAAAATTCTAACTAATTTGCAAGAGAGATGTACCTCAGTTCAAGGAATAAAATTGTGGAACAACTTGGCCAGTGATTTTGAAAATGCTGGTTCCATGAAGTTATTTGGAAGGATGGTAAATTTTGATTTGTTGAAGAAATATGAAAACATAATAGGCATTCATACAAGGTGCTGTTTCAGTAGTTGTAATCTTTTTTTATTATTATTATAATATTTTTTATTTTGTTTTGCTGACCATTAGGGTGTGAAATTGTTATTTATGTAAAGGTATGTATGGGTGTATGTATATATACATTCTTTTGTTAAATGGGGGCAGACGTTATAAGGTTTTTTTTACTTCTTTCTGCTCCCTTTATTTAATGATTTTGTGTTGTGTTGAAAATTGTTTTGTTTTTTGATTAAACATTTTGTTTTTAATTAAAGGAAAAAATATGTATTAAAATGAACGGGGGGTTTATGTTAATTCAGTGGGGTTGGGGTGGAACCAGAGGGTGGACTGAGGTGTGTTTTTTTCATGAATCTGTCCATCTTTTGCTGCCTCTCGCTGCAACACAATTCAAATAAAAAACATTTTTTAAAAAGCACCATAAATTATTTATCATAACTTCGGTTTTACTAGGCCCATCAACACAAGTTAAAAACTGGTGTTTAGTCCAGGGGTCTGCAACCTGCGGCTCTGGGGCCACATGTGGCTCTTTGGTCCCTCTGCAGTGGCTCTTTTTTTTATACCCACAACAGAAATTAATTTGTACACAAATATGTGATCAATACAACTAATACTAAAAGTAAACCATGTTAGC